ATTATTGGTGGGAAATTATAACAGGGGAATGTATTTGCCGTTTTAATATCAAGAACACTTCCGCGTTTTTGTGTGTATACAGGAATGTTAAAGATATCATTGAGGAAAACGAGGTTGACGTGACGTGATTGAATCAGGGAATCCGTGTGTCCACCACGGGAGAGGACCCTAATTGACTTTACATTGGCATTGTTTTCGTGGTGGCAGCACGTAATTTCAACCCATTACGTGCTGCCACCACGGAATGCGGTGTTAAGAGGTCATGGTCATTTCATGTATTTCTGTGAGATCAGGTTGGTCCAGCTACGACAGCACATTTTAATCTGCACTGACGTTTTGGCTTGAGTTTAACTTCCGCGGAGAGAGCGTTCAAATAAAGTATTTCTGATTCTGATTCTGATTCTGATTCTGAAATATTGGCAATAAAGCTCCACCATCTATTTGCAATTCGCCATTTAAAAAGAAGATAGCGGAGAAGAAAAAGCGGTTAAAAATGAAAAAGCCATTGTCACTTCCGGCAGGTGCAAAATGATGTGCAATTTGAGACAGCACTAATCTTTTGAAATTAGTGCACCATGCAAGAAGTACATAGTGTACTACATTGAAGTGTGCTAACGAAAGTGTGCAATTTGAGACACACTCTAGTTTTAGTTTGCTGTTAAGCAGTGTTTGCCATTAAACTGTCAGTGTCACTTATTAACGTCCCTTCAAGAAAAGCAATCGGTGGGCTCAACTGGCACGTCTGTTAAGTGGAGTTATTAGCTTTGGCTGCAGTTTTTGCTACATGCAAGGAGAATGTCTGCTGTCATGAAGGTACTCTGACAGTTTTATGATCAGTTTCCATTCACAGCCAGAGACTGGAGCCCAGACATGCCACTGTGAGATTACCTTCAGGTTACAGTCAGGTTTAACTGTTTGTACCTGAAAAGGAGACGGTGTATGTAATGCTTTTTGTTAGATTTACTTTATACTGCACCATAGGTATATGGTTGAGACTGGTTATTTGGAAAATTGCCTCACAGAAAAAAAGTATTGAAGATATGCTTCTTCTTCTGATACTACCACAATATAATATTTATTTAACCCTTAGATGCATAAGTGGGGTCAAAAATGACCCCAGGGGTTGTTTTTCTTCAATATCTATGGAATTAAAAGTTTTTATCATTTCATATTCCAGGTATTCCTCATAAAACATGTTTCTGACATGAGGCCATTTGCATTTTAAAAAAAATTATATACATTTTAAGAAATTGTTGTTTTTGTATCACTAACCCACTCTTCCATAAATGGGGTCAAAAATGACCCCAAGCATTTCCTATGGAATATCAAGGTTAGACCTAGGAATCTTTGATTCTTATCGACTGTGACTGTCAGGTATACATTTACTGTCGCACTTACACATCTAATGCCAGCAGTCTCACCACCCGGGAGGATTTTTATACAGCAACAGACATGTTAGTATTATATTCGTTTTATATCTTGGAATACATGTGACGTTATAAAATATGAACTTATTTTCCACATCCATGACTTTTGTGTGATAAAGTATAGTATTATTGTCACCAAATTAGCCTACTTTGTAGTTAGCTAATACTAGCCAACTAATGTAAGATGAGACTTAATTTTGTTTTAGTGTTGGTCTGAATGTTGTTTTGTTTTGGGTATTAGTTGAATATTTCATGATTTAGCTAATGGCTCATTATTTGATAAATACATCATTTACATTTGTTGGAATGAGGAACTATATACATAAGCTGCTTTGTAGTGTTTGTTTACATTGGGCGGAGTGATACGTGTCAATGAATAGTCAGTTGTCCTACTTTTCTGGACAGACATTAAAGTATACACATGTTTTCCTCCGGAGAAGTTGTCCCTGTGCTGTTATTACCCACGCTACACCATATACAGTATTATACAGTTAATGCTAACTCAACACCGGCATTACACTAAGTTAGCTAGTGTTAGTAGTGTTAGCTAACTACAATGTAGGTACTAATTAGCTAACTACTATGTAATGTTTGTGCAGTAATGTTAGCTAGCTAACATTACTGCATTTGTTGTGTAGAGATAAGCAGCCTTACTATGATATTTATAGCTTCCTTGTAATACAGTCTTACCATTATTGTGAGTGCGCATGCGTGCATGTTAGGTAGCCTATTATGCTATTATTGATTATTCAATGATGTCATTAGTGTGTGTGTGTGTGTGTGTGTGTGTGTGTAGTTCATCACTGCATTTGTTGTGTAGAGATAAGCAGACTTACTATGATATTTCTAGCTTCCTTGTAATAAAATCTAACCCGTTAGGTAGCCTATTATACTATTATTGATTATTCAATGATGTCATTAGTTGTCAAAATGTTAATAAAAAGTGATAAATGAACATGTCAAACATGAAATCATTCTTTTGTTGACCAAAATATAATACAAATCATTATCTTTAACCAAAATGAAAGAAATTGTCTAAGTCTTAAGTTTATCACATAAAACGCATTGATTCTAACTGGGGTCATTTTTGACCCCACTTATGGAAGAGTGTAGGTATTGGTAGGTCATGCATCTAAGGGTTAATATTTAAGCCAAAACGAGGGTTAAAATATTACAATCATAGTTCTGTTGGCACAGGCAGAGCCCTCTACTAGACTCTATGAGTAATACTCTCCTTAGGGGTGTCAAATTATCGCTAAAACAAAGGAAATGTTTATTGATTTTCAGAGAAAGCCCTGTCCTCCTGCTCCTTGTGTGATCAAAGGAGAGACAGTAACAGTAGTGCAGCAGTATAAATACTTGGGCACTGTTCTGGATGACAGGCTAAAATTTGATGCAAACACAGATGCCCTCTGTAAAAAGGTGAACCAACGTTTGTTCTTTTTTAAGGAAGCTGCGTAGCTTTAATGTGGACAAGACAATAATGAAAATGTTTACTCTGCTTTTATTGAATCTCTCCTCTCCTTTAATGTAATATGTTGGTTTAGTCACCTTAATCTTCATAACAAAAAGAAACTGGAAAAAATGGTCAGGCTGTGTTGCAAGATTGCTGGTGTCAACCTTAGAACAGACATATAAGGAAAGACTAATTTCAAAGGCTCAGTCCATTGTTTTGGACCCTTTTCTCTCTTTGCACACTGAGTTTCAGCAGCTCCCCTCAGGGCGAAGGTTTAGCGTTCCTAAATGTAGGTATAGACTTTCCTTTGTCCCGTCTGCAATAGTGGCTCTTAATAAGCACTGATTAGGTCATTTGTTTGTTTGTTTTTTCTTGAATGCATTGTGTCCTGTGCTGTGAATGTTGTTTATTGGTATTGTTGTTGTTGTTGTTGTTGATGTCTTGTTGTTATTGACTACTGGCTGCAAATCAAATTGCCCCACGGGGACATTAAAGTTTTACCTTACCTTACCTTACACACAAAGACACCGTTGTCATGTAGTATTTCCAATATTTTCTTTTTATTATTTTTTTTTTAGTAAGGATAATAAGTAACTATAATTTGTCTGAATGCATAGTACTCAATGGTTCATTGGATGTTGTTGCCAGAGGCTGCTGAGAGGCTCACTTCTTCACTCCACAGTATGTCACAGTCACTACATTTCCCATACAACTATGCTGAGAGCTTTTTTTTAGTCTGAATGTAGATATATTGAGATGAATTTTAAACTCAGAACTATGATATTGGGGTGAGGGCAGTGTGCATATAGACCCTGACCCCTGAAAGGTCAAAGAACACCCAAAAAGTATCAAGACATCAAATGTCTCCCAAACCCAAGTCATTACACATATAGCAACCTGACAGACGTTAATTGACCCTACGTTGTACGTAGAGCTGTGCCGTCTTTGATCCAAACTCCCCCAGCACGCTGCAAATGACCGGGCCAGCCTCCTTGCGTGTGACATTATGGATGGTGAACTCCACACAGCTGGTCACACCGGTGGAGCAGAATCTAGTAGAGAACTGCTCTGAAGATGAGGTTATGTTACCGGTGACAGAAATCGTGAGGACCAAATATCCTTGGACAGTCCAGGTCATAACCTTCCATATTCCTTGTACAGTGGTGTTGAATCGCACATCAGAACCTTGTAGCACCGTTGAATTCAGCGGCTCTAGCTGGAACTGTCCTGACACCACTATATAATAAAAAGACACAACATGTCAGGCAGGAACAAACTCATCAATGAAGAAATAGAAAAGAAAACATTAACAGTGTTAGGATTTAGTTTTTATGGACAGACTTCTTGATTTCAAAAAGATTTACATCTGCATCTTGCCAACTTGCCCTATTTAAAAATAAAATTCTTTTCATTTTTATTTTTTATAAGTAGAATAGACTTGATTGGGGAATAATGCAAGAAATATTACCCAAATAAGCCAAAAATATGTTCCTCATAAACCAGCAGTCAGAATTTCACCAAATTCGGTATGGATGCTCTGGGGCCAAGTAATAACCACAGTTTTAAGTGCCATGATTGGTGAAAATGGCGTGGCCTATTAGATTTTGACTCATAACTCAAGATGACTTTGACCAATCCTAATGAAATTCACTGGAGACATCTGGAGTGACACTCTTAACATGCCTACCAGAAATGATCCCAATCAACTAGATGATTGTGCTGTAATTAAGGCCAATATTGGAAAGGCCATGCCCCTCACACAATAAGCCCAAATCATTTGGAATTTGACACACAAGTCCAGCTCAATTTGCTCTACAAAAATGCTTCTTTGACTCATTAGATTTTCCACCATTCTAAAAGTGTTAAAAACAATTAAATGAATACAATTTTATGAATTTTGAGTTTATCAACACAAAATGCAGTGTACAGCATTTTTGGATGAATACACAACTTTCTATTACAAATGAGCAAGATCGGTCAAAAAACATGGCTGCCATTAATGAAAAAACCTTGACAAATGCAGAGCTTAGCAGGAAATAGGCCATAACTTGAGTTTCTTTCCAATCCTGATTAAACTCAGTGGACTTATGAAGTACTAACATCTTAATGTATGGACCATGTTTCGTTTAATTCCATGACGGATAGCAAATGTTGTGACACTGAGTGTGCTGTTTCTGAAATGCTGCATACATTAGAATGGTGGGACAAGTTTGTGATTGGTCTTACTCCTTGAGACAGAAATAAAGAAGCTGAAGTGCTCAGCCTTGTAAAGCTGAAAACCCGCTTGCTGCAGCCAACAGATGCTGCTTCCTGCTGTTGGTCAAAAGGGTTTGCTGCTTGAGGCTATATTTGAAAATAGTCATTTCTTCTATAATTACTGAAAACTGTTAGGCTTTGCTGTTTAAACAGATTTTTCCTTCATAAAATACACACAGTGCCGGTTCATGTTCAGTTTGAGGGATACGGCAAAATGTAAATACACAGGGACAGAAGAAGTTTGCTGCTGCTGAGTATTACAATATATTAGGTCTCACAAAAACTATTGATTAATGCTTTTATTTTATTTAACTCATGGTTACTGTTAGTTATTGTGCTTTTCTAGTCTTAGCAACCACTCAAAGCACTTTACTGCACAAGCAGCTTTCACCCCATTCACAAACACATGCAAATAGTGGTGGCCAGGCTAACATACAAGGTGCCACCTGCTCATCAGAGAAACATAAGCACGCACAATTGCACAGTTATTGGAAGCAATATGGGGTTCAGTATCTTGCCCAAGGACACTTTGACAGGTAGACTGTCGGGGCCATGGATCAAATCGCCAACTTTACAATTGCTAGATGATCACTTTACCTCCTGAGCCACTGACACCCCATGATCAGGGGCGCAGATGGGATTTTTGTGTGTATGTGTGTGTGTGTATATATATATATATATATATATATA